TTATTGTTTAATAATGTGGGAAAAACAATGTCATAAACCACCCATTTGGGAATGGTTTATACCACCCATAAATTGGTGAGTTGGGGGATGGTTTATGACATTGTTTTACCCACATTATAAGAATAGATGATCACTGATCACTCTAAAATGTTGGGGAATATTACAAGTTTATGATAGATTTATATATAGATTTAGTCATAGTTTTTGTTTATCACTCGGGAAGTAGCCCCTAGAGTATCAACCAGGGGTTTGTGGTTTTGGAGTTGACGTTATAAGCGTTTGCAGTCTTGGCAGCCTTTGCATTTTATTGCCATGATGGGGCGTTCAGGTAAATACAACTTTCCACGGAGAAAGAAAAAGCGACCTCTCTGCCATTGCCATTAGTTTGATTTCCCATGTTAAACATGCTTTCTCGTTGGCGGTTTCAATTGTTGCATTGTTTCACCTTCACCAACAGGATGATGACGCCACTTTACTTTCTATGAATTATCCCCATGTTCGCTAGCTTAACCCTCCTAAAATCATCCTTAGGAGGTTATAGTCATCCCCAATTAAAACAGACAGAAAAGTATTATCAGGTTCTACGGCACTTTTTTTTGTTCGGAGGTTACTACAAACTACAATCTCATGGGGTTTAAACATAATTTACAGACCTCTTTTTGTGTGTTTTGTTTGAGGCTAATGTGATAAATCTATTTCATAAACTTAAACCATCCCAAAATCACAATTTTTATGGATGCTAGTAGGTTTATTGTTTGTTTTCCCACCCTAGATTTGTGAATTTTCCACTCTAAACCTTGCATTTTGGGGTACCTACATATTATCAGGAAAGCCCATTCATATAATCCCAAATCGGAGGCTTTCAGAGCCGCGCGTCCCCAGGTGCCCACAGAGTTTCTGGGCTCCTTCAGACTGGACCTCGTGAAGGTGAGATATACAGCACTGACCCAATCAAGGGGATCTTGGAGAGTACTGACACGGGGTTTCATGGAAAATTCATAGGGTTTACCGTAATACCCAACTAGAATGGATATTATATAACAGTCTATTGCATATGGCATAATTTGATATAACCAGTGTCTCTGAGAGTGTCTCTGAACATGAGGGATTCCCTAGAATGGCATGGAACTAAAGTTATGCAGCATTTGTTGTTGGGGGGGAGCTGGCCGGACATGGCGGCATGGCATGGCATGGCCATTGCCAATTTGTGTAAAAAATCCACCCATTGTTGATCATTTCCTGGGAAAAGCCATCGATTTTCATAGTTATGTTAGTTTACTTGGGTAAACATGAAAGTCAGCCCCACTTCCTCCAGTCACCATCCACGGCTTCATGATCGGCCTTTAGTTGTGAATAATACATGTTACATAATGTGATTTTAAGTAGCATTTTGATAATTATAGGCTATAGGCTGTAACTATAGCAGTGCGGATGGGTTTGTAATAGATCTGTCTATGCCTACAGACATGGATTTGTGGACCAACTTCTGGTGCATCACATTGAAGGAACCCAACTACTCAGGAGTTTGATGGCCCATGACTGATGGCCTTTCTGGTCAGTTTTGGACATTCCCCCATCAGCCACGACTGTGCAGACTCGCTATGGTCAACCCGTGGAGCGAGCCATTTGTGGCAACGCAACGAAGACCAAGCATCCTGGCAGTTGGGGGTCCGTCTGGCTGTCCCCAACCCATTTTTCTGGCTCTGGTGGTGTCTGTATGTTGGCAACAAAAATGGGATGCCAAAATGGTATGCCCTGCCAGATGCCCTGTTGTACCCCAGGAAAGTGGCCAACTCCAATGAGGACGATGCAGATCTAGACAAGGAAGACACAGGGGATGTGCCTTGGAGAAGTTCGAATCGCCCATGCAGGCGAGGTTGTTTTGATAGTTTTTTTTTGATGATGGGAATTTGAATTTTACCGCTGTGACCAAAACTCAGAGTGGTTGACAACTTGGCACCTATTGGTAACCATCTCCAATCTTTGAAAAAGACATGTTTTTTCGATTGGGCTTACTAATGATTATCCACAAAATGGCTCGCATTCCCATGCTGCTAGGGCCCCAAAAAAACCTGGCATCCCTGATGTCCGGTGATGGGCACCGAGGACACCATTGGCATTGACCCTGCCCTGTCGAAGTATCACACAACCTATTTGTGACCTAAACGAGGGAGGAGGGTGGGAGGATGAAGGTGATTATCTAATTTTGTTCATTGTTATGTCTTATATAATTGGTATCATACTGATGATTACCTCCTTTTTTAATCTTTTTTATACTATTTACTATTGTTATGATGATGAGGATTAGTAGGAGGATGAGGATGGGGATGATGGGGATTATGAGGGATGAGGATTAATCATCATTAGTTATCGTGTCCGAGAACAGATGACAAACCTTCCCATCTCTCACCTCATTCGCAGCCCAGTGACACAGGAACCAGCTCACCTTGGCCCTACACCCCAACTCTGGGTTGGGTGTCAGCCGGTGGGTAACAGTACAGTTACGTTTTGAACAGAGGGACATGGCAGAAACACCCAGAACATAGAGCAGTCAAGTCTGAGCATAGACTATAGACTATAGACAAACAAATGCAATTACAGTATAATGAGGAAAATTCAATGATAAATTATCCCCAGTTACCGCCTATACCGGTATGCCCATATTTCTATGTATTTCTGGTATTGGCAATGACCCCCAACTTGCTGGTTCATTGGATAAGTTTGTTATTGGTTTCATGCCGCAATTGAACCACAGTGAGAGCATGGCCGCAAGGCCTCTTACTGAGTCAACCAGGTACGAAGGAAAACGCGAGAAGATTGCAGGCTCCTCATTGTCCACGATGGCAACTCCCACCATCAGCCCGGGGCCACGATTGGTGCCAATACGTGATTCCATGATTCTTCATGTTTGCCGTTAGAGATGGCTTTGTCAAAGCCACCTTTGAGGCTTTGAGTGCTACTTCTTGCCTGATTTCAAGCCAGTTGGGAGCCTCATGTCAAGGGAGTGGTTGAATGTCGCATTTACCACCACAGGTGGTGAGCAGCGGTAGTGGTGGCGTGCACGAGCGTCTTCACGTCTCCAAAACAGATGGCATCCTTTGATGGGGTTGGGTTGAACATATTTGAACATAGCATACTCTTTGAGTTGAATGAGCCCAAAATGATCCTATTTGTTCATAGTTGTTGTTTTTTTTCCAGCGTAGTGTGCGTTCAAAAACGGTATAAGTGAAACAAACGTGAGATGATCACAGAAGGGGGAGAAACGCTTAAAGTTGTTTACAGCACAAGCATCGTGCCGGCATGGTATTCCAGCATCATCCCTGACCATCCCTGACATCTGACCCAGACGACCTGAGGATTTTAAGTTCCCCGAGCAAGATGACAAGGAGATCGCCAGTGCTGCAGCCTTTGCCTGGGAGACTCAGTAAAACTCAGTGGCCTTGCTGATGGCCCCGGACTGGTCATGCCCGGGACTGGTCATGCCCGGGACTGGTCATGCCCGGGACTGGTCATGTGGCATGTGGGACTTTTTTTGGTACAGGTATTAATTGTCAAAAGCTGTTGTTTTGTTTTGGTGTGTCCACCAGATAAACTGCAATCAGACCATGTTTTTTGTGTTAAAGTTCCCGCCTTCAAGGAGGGGACCGGCAGCTGGTTGGCATTTTGGTTTGCCAAGTTCACAGTTCCCAAAGCAGTTTCCACCTGAACTGAACAGTGGCAGATGTATGTGTAGATTCAAGACAGTAATGCACAGAGCAGATCAGAGCAGTGGATGAGTTGATAGACACATACGTGCATAATGACAGACGTAAGTGTAGATAGATGGAGGAATTCGCTAGATTAGATTTGATGAGATTAGATTAGATATGTAGTTAGATCAGATTAGATTACACTAGATACTTGTAGATAAGTGCTGTCATTCTGTGATGTTTGTTGTTTTTTTGTTTTAGCGGCTGCCACGCAGAATGAGCATATTGCGACATAGTGATATGCACTTTGGACGGAAACAGCAGAACTGATAAACATCAACAAGTACAAGCTGACATAGACGTTTCATCATGTTTCAAAATAAGTAGCAAATTATATTGTACCCACATGTAGGATCAGGATCAGTGGGTAAAGAACTGAACGGTCAACGCGCTTTGCGGTGGGAGTTGTCACAACATAAAAGGCAGTGGCCACTCTCAACAACACAATACGAAACTGATCTAAACTGTTTTCTTGTTTCGCTTCGGTAGGGAATAAGACAGGACCTTTGAGGTGTTCTCCAACACCAATCATGAGGAATCCTGAGAGCTACAAGATGCTACTTCGGTATATACTTCCGGGATTTCCCGAGGCACCGGCATACCAACGTTCGGTACTGAGCTATGGGAGAACCGAAAATTGGGATGGAAAATTGGGATGGATCATGGATTTTTGCATGGCACTTTAAAGAGTTTCCCCATGGTTTAATAAACTTTAATTATGCCATTTTGTTATATAATCCACCAGAAATCATCAATCTACTGATGCTGTATATGCTGACACATCTTGGCAATACTGCAACACTCCAGTTATACTCTGAATTTCTCTTCAACATGTTGCAATATTCTGACGCGTGTTATTTTTGTTGTTCCTTTCACGTCCTGAACAAAATGTGTCATCTGTCAGAATGATCAACCCCAATTCTTGGAACAATATCTCGTTATTTTTACTTTCAATATCTTACCAGATAGCTTATAGGTTTCCATATGTGAAAACAAAAACAACACCCAAGCGTAGAAGCATTGTGAATCATAACGTCAATGTGAATTTCAGGACCCCGAACAGGAAGTACTGTACCATATAAGGGCATATTTTGTGGGTATATTCCCTTGCATAGCCCTTACATAGACCTTATACAATTCAATGTAGGTACCTCCAAATTTAGGTTCAGAAATCGCAGGATTTGTGACAACAGCCCAATGCTATTTCACTGCGTCGCTAGTAGATAGTTGGGTATCCTCTTGGACTTCAAACTTCAAGCGTTAAGAAGTGGTTTCTGAAAGTCGTTGAGCAAAATCGTATAAGAGAATGCAAGAATTGGAGGAACATCTACAGGACCCTTATTTGGGGATAAAAACCAATAACATCTGTGGTTTCCACATGTTCCGTTAAACCATTGAAAGCACAAGCAGAGCACGGTCTGGCCCGGGTTAGAGGTTGGAATGACATCTTCCGGGAGTTCAATGAGGTGGGTGGTTCAGCTGTGCATGGCATGAGCCACATCTAAACTTTAAACTGTTCCCACATGGATCCACTTGGCAATCCATACTACAGTAGACCTGCAGACAATCTTACCTTTGTTTGATCTTGTAGTTTTGCCATGTTTTGCCCACGTGTGTTCCTCATTTTTCCTCCCTTCTTCCCCACGCTACGCCGCAAAGCGCTTTTTTTTGTGTCCAGGCCTATCAAGTGTGGTTCCCGGACTCCCCCGCCAAACGACGTTGGATTTGCAGCTACACAGACAAGTGGGGACGCCTCAGTAGTGGGAAGATGCTATCCCATGGGTGATTTTACAAAAATATTATCCCATCTATGGCATCTATGGTCTTCAAACTTTCATTAGTAATAAGAAACTAGAGAGTCTATTAATTTACGACACCATCTTTCAAGATTTGGAGGGCAAGACATTGCAAAACCATTCCAGCTGCGCAAATCGCTGCTGTGTATCAAGACACGGGCGGATCATATCAACTGGCAATAAATCTGAAGCCCATGGTGGGACCTCACCCTTAAAACGATTTAGCTGGATTTCAGCGGAGGTCAATACATTGATCTTTAAACGTATGAGAGCATCCCCGTGTACAAAAAACATGATTCAAAGAAGTAAAACCCCAATAGAATAGTGTCAAAGAGGTGATAAGATTACCATTATTATTTGTTATTTGTTTTTCTGGTTATTATCTCTCCAAGGTATGCTTTCCCAGTCCGAATCCAGCACTGGAAACATTTGAGGAGCGGCAAAACCTTGCCTTTGCCGCGGCTGGTGACGCCTTTGGCTTTACCTGCTGAGCTGGCGCCGAAGGGCCCATAAGGGCCCCTGGGGCCCCTGGGGCCCCTGGGGGCCAGGGGGATCCAACGCCGGAGATTTATGAACCCAGATGATGTGTTTTTGTTTGAATGCACTATATGCATTGTTTGTTTTTGGGAGGACTTACTATTAGATTATATAATATTATATAGATATGTAATGATATATAGATAGATCGCTCGCAGATTGTGTCACTACACTCATTCAGCAGTGAAGCTGTAAATTTGGATCATCGGCCCGCCTAAGATTAAGTACCCCATACAAAGGCCCCCTAAACTAAATAAATGCCACGGCTAAGCAAGGTTTCTAGTAGGAGGGTATGTAATATCACCCTCTCGTAAAGTCATATAGTTATGGAGCATTATCCGTTTTTAGATGATTTGATTTGCCTATTAAACATAGCCATTTTCCAATGCTATATTAGATTTCAAGAGGGCAGGGGGAAGAGATTATATGCTTACGAGTTGGTAATCAAACATGGCCAGAGAAAATCCACTATTTACGATCTTCCCATTCAAATATCCCATTTCGTAACGGGATTTCCCATCAAGTTGAAGTACAGGGTGCATTTGATATTATATGATATTATCATATTATCCCCGATAGTCTAGTTGGTTAAATCATGTTACATCCTAGTTGATATTCTATGATATTATATATTTATTAGTATAATGTTATCATATTACAGTATCCCAATGTATGCCATTATAGTTGGTTAAATCATGATACATGCCCATTATATCACTATGATTTCTCCATTATAGCACCATTCCAGCTGGCGCCAGGGATCTCCCCTGGGGATCATGCACTGGATCAAGTTCGAAGCTCAGGAGGACACCCCGAAATGCCGCTGATTTCAGAAAGGAAGTCATCGAAGGTTTGTGGATTTTTCAGCACGCCAAATGTTTGATTACTAGATGGTAATTGGATGTATACAATTGAGTAGGAACAGAGTTTTGCTGGCAAAATTGCTGAAATGCTTGCTGAATCGTTCTTTGTTTCTTTTGCGGGGTAATCCTGGAGGAGAAAAACACATCTTCACCTGGTTCAGGTAAGGCCAGCAAGGTAATGCACCAGAACCAATTGACTTTTGGGGTTACTGCTAGGGATGTGAATTTATGCGAAGTTGATCCTTGGGGTGGGCTGGCACTTTATTGTTGATGGCAAATTATCAACAGGACAATTCTGGGCACCCCATGTAAAAAATACAAACTGCCTACACACATACACTACCGGAGCGTAGGCAGATATCTACTATGTTCTGATTACGCCATGATTTAATGCTCCCCTGATGTCGTTGAGGTATTGGACCTCTCATTGGCGATTGACCCCCTGGATTGTTGCCTGGAACTCTAAAGCTGAGGTGTATTGAGTTCAGCGCACCTGCGCGGCAGAGGTGCAGAGGGCAGGGTAAAATGATATGATATCCAAACATGTCCAAACTGAGTCTTTGTTCATCATGTGATGTCATGTGCAAGCGCTGCACACATTTTGGATACCCACAAATCAAGCCAAAGGCCTGTGATTGTTCGTATTTTGAGAGGATCCTTCCCCTGTGGCAGGGCAGTTGGCCAAATCAACGAGTGGCAAACTCCCAACAACGTGCGGCGGCCTGGGGGGTCTAGACCGTCTAGACCTGAAGCTGTAAAGACCGGGTGAGTCATCCATGAGTTCGAGTCTTAGCGTGGTAAACTGTAAACTCAATAAAGCTACCAGTTGGGATGGGTTATACAACCCACTTGTGGTCATGTTGGGGATGGTTTGCAATTGGGTTTACCACATTATATACATTGTCTCCAGCAATATATAATGTCTAATGTATTGGTTTGTTTGTTTGGCAATGGGACACCCTCAATTCCAACGGACTATCATTACTTTATTCGTCTTTATTCCATAAAGATTAGCCTTTTGGAGCCTCTCCCACTTGGAAACAAACCTATATTGTGGAAGTCTTGTGAGATGGAGTTGCAGCAACAGAAACCCAAAAACATATTGGGTCAAAACCGACCATATTTCGGAGAATAAACATCCATTAAGCAGCTATTTTAGGGTAGCTAGGATCCCAGCATTTTGACTGATATCCATACAGATACCTCATAGATGTTGTTTTGTTCTTTGCAAGCCCAAGATCGCTTTCAGAATTTCCGTCAGCATCCCCTTGAACTTTGAACCAGTTGTGCTGAGCCGACAGCAATAGACGACCCCCAACTGGTCCATGAATTGCCTATGGATATTGCCTTCTTTCAGCTTAGTAAAATATGATGCAATGAAATATGATTATTTACCAAGATTACATATATATATATCCCATTATCTCCCCAGTATCTGATATTTCTTAACCATAGCTTTTACCCAACAGCCATGAGTCAAGGATAGTCGTAAAAGGGGCCCTTAGCGACGTTTTTTGTGCCTAGATCCTGGCCTTGCGACGTGGATCTGTACAGGAGATCCAAAAAAGGGCCGGCGGTTGGTCATATATTGCACGTATGGATGAGATATGGATGATATTAATGGTGATATGAATGGCGATATGGTTGTGGTTAGTTAGCTAAGTTAGAAATAATTACTCCAATAACTTTGGGTTTATGGTAGCTATGTTTATTAGTATGTTATACTATAAACCAACATTATAACTATGGTGATGTATAGCGCATGTATTTAGATGATCTATATCACCATCTGAAAGGGACAAACACCGGCGCGGTTCGTCGCTTATGGATAAAACTACGCCTAAAAGAACGCGTCGTTTTGGCTGAACCAATATCATTTATCCATATCAGTTTATGTACATATATATATATATACATACATCGATATGAAATGATCACGCATAAAGAAGTCGCACACATGCACATATATATATATATATATATATGCATACATATATATATATATATATGTGCATACATATATATATATATACATATTTGCATACTTGTAGAGTCTTGTAGATGTTTATCAGTTTTTCATTGTCAACGTACACTATACATATATATATATGTTGCAATATATATATATATATACACATATACACACTTTGTTTAGTATATATTTGTATCGAGATATCGTAGCGTGTTTTTGACCGTTGATGGGTGGCAAATGTGGTGAGACTTTTCGTCAGGACCATGCGGTGCTGTTGTGCTGCGCCCTGCAGGGCTTGAAGAAAGACGCCTGGGTTTGCATAGGCCACGGCGGCGGAATGGCGGCTGAATGTTCATGAACATTTGATCAGTGGTTACTACGTTAATAACGCAGTATAGGATCCACCATTATATTATTTTTTATCATTAAATGAACCATCAAAAGATGGATGGATCATGATATTGCTTTACCAACATGAGGGGAAATCATAGTGACCCCCTAGCTGACGGGACTCCCAATAAGATAGTGGCTATGACGGACCCGCCAGGGAGTCCCTATACATTCCATGGATTTGATAACATCTGCAGTTTTTTGTTCCAAACATTGGAAGTCTCTATGGGTTTCTATAACATCAAATTCCAGGGGGTCCCAAACTTTTGCCATTGGTTTTTCTTCCAAAAAAATGGGTTTCTTTTGGTTCCGCTTTGCATGGCCTGGTGTATGAGGAATGGAGTAAGCGTTTGATTTTAGATACATGAGCGTTGGACAAACAGCTGCTAGTCTTGATGTTGGATATATATATATATATATTTGTGTGTGTCCACCCGCCATCATATCTTCACAAACATATCGGCCCAAAAAGTGAGATTTATCATTTCTAGATTGCAAAAAGGTGACCTCTTCATCTTGGATTTTCATCATCCTCATGAGTAACCGACAAAATTATTGTAATATTATTTTTGTTTTGCTTCGCCTTGGCCTTCCTGAGGGGTGTGCACAACCTTCATTACCTTCATGGCATCAAAAATGAGTAATGAATTTCGTCCGAAGATTATGAGACATCCATCAAAACCCACCATTCTTCCGGACGGGACTCACATCAGCGCCGTGTTGTGGCCATGCCGGCCACAAAGCCGAAGAGTAGCAGCTCTAGCGACTCTGAGTCCGAGACGCCACCGAAGAAGACAACGAAGAAGGCTTGACCAATGGGAGCTGATCTACCCAGTGGTTAGGAGGGAACCAAGGAGCGCTTGGGGTAGGCCGAAAACAGGTATCCATATTCCCGATTCAATGGGGGCCCAAGGAGCTAAGGATTGAGTTTCCCAGCCAAATGAGAGTCTTGAACGAGAAATTCATCAGACCTACGTACTCACACACACACACATATATATATATTAGGGATTGCCTCTAACAGTAACTCTTTAGGGTAATATACCCCTCTAATTCCCTATTATATACCCCTATCAACTGTCTATTATATACCCCTCTCAAAGGTATAATATACCGCCCCTCTCATCTGTCTATTATATACCCCTCTCCAAGGTATAACATACCCCTCTCAAAGGTATAATATACCGCTCTCAAAGGTCTAAAATACCCCTCTCAAAGGTATAATATACCCCTCTCGAACGTCTAAAAAGACTCCTTTCAAAGGTATAATATACCCCTCTCGAACGTCTAAAAATACCCCTTTCAAAGGGGCAAATAAACCCCTCTCAAACTTCGAATGTGCCCATCTCAAAAGGGTAATTTACCACTTTCCAAATGTCCAAAAATACACATCTCACCGGGGTATATATATATCTCTCTCTCTCTCTCTCTCTCGCGCTTTCAATGGACCAAAATCAATGGTCAAACGCCCAATTAACTAAAATACCCTGGATGAATGCACCACTTACACATCTCAATGTTCTGGTTTAAGATGGGGCAACCCCTGGACTAATTGTTTTGCAACTCAAAAGTTTCAAGCTTTTGCTTTGGGACAGCAACATCCGGCATCCAAACATCGAGGTACGTGGGAATCCAAATGACAACGTTTTGGAGTGATTTGGGGCCCAAATTGGAGCCCAAATATACCCGTCTGAGAGGGATATATTTGGCCATAATATACCCATTTGAGAGGGGCATATTTGGCCATAATATGCCCTTCTCAGAGGGGTATATTATAGCGAGGGGTATAAAACAGACAGCCCTGAGAGGGGTATAAAACAGGTTTCTGCAGCATAATACGTTTTATACCCCTCTCACCGGCCGGTCATAATATACCCCTCTGAGAGGGGTATATTATGGGCGCCAGAGGGGTATACCATGGGCCCCAGAGGGGTATATTATGGATGCCCAGAGGGGTATATTTGGAGGCCAAGACGGAGGGGTATATTTGGGGTCACAAAGGGGTATATTTCGGGTTCCCAAAAGGGTATATTTGGGTTCCAAGAAATGTTTTTTTTTTTAGAAGGGCACGTTTGGGAAACACATGTTCATACATTTGGTGTACAACATAATCTGTTGATCCAAACTTAAACTTTACCAGGTGTGATTAACAGATTATCTTTTTTTGTCCAAAGTGGGAATTCGTCAATGTGGTGTTTGGTACAAAGACCCTCCAATGCAAGCAACAGACATGATGAATTTGATGTGTGTAAGTGGTGCATTCTAAGGAGTAGACACGGCAAATTTAAGGGTTATATTATTATATATATATATATGTATATATTATTTTATATTATTATATAACTGGGAATTGGAAAATAGCAATTTATTTTGTTTGGAAGGCTCGAACGCGCCGGCGCGCCCCCGGCCCCTTCATGGAACCGGCGATCCTCACCCTCCAGGGGGTCGAGGTCGCCGGTGCCACGGACGGCTCACTCGTGAGCCTGTCCGTGGCCACCTGGCTCCGGCTGGGGGGCAGGTGCCGCCAAGGGCACCTGCCCCCCCCGGGGCCCCGGCAGCCGCCCCGGCGGCGCCTCCACCCCCTGCCCGTCGCCCCCCTTCCCCCTCCCGCTCCCGCTCTCGGGGGAGTGGCTCTTCCTCCCAGGGGTCGCCCCCCCGTGCTCGCCTCTGCCCGCGCCGGGCGCCCCCTCCCGAGAGCTCTCCTTCACCCTCTTCGCCCTCGGCTGCGGCGGAGTTCGAGGAGATCCCGGTGGAGCCCGAGCCTCCTCTTCCTCCACCGGCGCACCGCCCGCCGGCGCGCCCTGCGGCGCGTGGCCCCCCACCCGCGCCTCGCCTCCCCCAAGCACCCGGCCGTCGGCCCACGCGCCGTAGCCACCGTGCCGGGCCTTCCTCCTCGCAGGACTTCCAGCCCACCGGTCACTGCCTTCACGGCACCCGGGCCCATCCGAATCTCCGCCAACCCTTTTGCCCGGACGGGGCCTTCCCCGTTCCGCTGACCCGGTCGGCTCCGCCTGCGCCCTCCGCTTTTCAAGGCAGCAGGCACCCCACGCCACCCCCCGGCGGCCGGCACTCCGCCACCCCCCGCCACCTCCTTCCCCGCCCCCACCTCTGCTGCGCGCCATCCTTTCAAGGCAGCGCGGCAACTCCCAGGCCCTTTGAGCAGCCGGACGCACCTTTCACTCCACCCACATCTCTCACCACCGGTACCCCTGGGAAAAGGAGAAAAAAAAAAAAGGAAAAAATCACAACAACAAAGGAAAACCGAGGTTTCGCCACAGACCCAAAAACAAAAAAAAAAAACTAACATACAGCAGACAGCAGACCGGGCGAGCCTGACGCCATAGCTGCTTGCGAGAGACCGCTTGGCCGCTGCTCATGGCGGCGCCTTGGCCGCACTGTGATCGGGAGGAGGCACGGGCCGAAAATACACACAATGGTGACGGTGACGAAGTCGTTTTGGTTCAAGCGTTTCACCCTAGCGCCACCACGGCAGCTGGGTCCACCCTCCCGGATGTCTCACCCGCCCCCGTCGTCCTCAGTGACGGCGAGGACGCACCTCCCCCCACCGCTCCTACCGATGGCGCCCATGCCGCGCCCACATGTTGCACCTGCCTCGAGCCCCTACTCCCTTCCGGGGTGGGGCGCCGGGCGGTCGTGCATTGGCCCGGCTGCCGGCATGCCTACCATTTCGCCTGCCTCGCCAGATCCCGCGCGCAAGTGCACCCTCCACGATGTCCTCTGTGCCGTCATGCCTGGGACCCAGCGCTCGATGCCAGCTTGAGCAGCACTTGCCACGGGCTCCACTTCAACCCCTTCCAAGAATCCGAGCCCGAGCGCGCCACGCCGCCCCCTTCTCCCCGCCCCAGGGGCGCGGCCGCCTGGCGCCAGCGCGGCCCCCCAAGTGGCATTGTCCGGACGGATGCCAACTCCTGGCTGTATGTGCCCCTGCTCCTCGCCGCGACAGGCGAGCTCCACGAGGATGCCGCCTTGGCCTGGCAACAAGCCACCGCCACCACACGGTGGTGGGAGCGCGCCCGGCAAGCGCTGACTGCCGCGCCCCCCGTCCCCCTCACCACCCTCCTGGAAGCCCTCCACGCTTGCCCAGCTGCTGGCGCGCTTTCCTCGCACCAGCGCCTTTCCCGACAGGCGGCCGCGCTCCCGCCAGGTGCCCAAGCGCATCTGGGCTGGGCAGTTCGCCACCTCTGCGACCCCGACGCGTACGTCCCCGCCGCTGGCCAAGAAGTGCTTCTCCAACTCTATGGTGGCCTTCACCTTGCTGCCGACCTCGACCGGCACTCGGACACCTTCCGAGCGCGCCCGGACCCTCCGGCGCCCATCCAGCTCCCTGCCGATCCCGGCCCCGTGCATCCCGCGGTCGAGACTTCGGCGCCCAGAGAGCTGGCCACTGTCCGGGCTCTGGCCCAACAGGTGGCCCGTGCCCCCCGCCCCCCGCCGCGCCGCGGCGGTCGCGGCCGCGGGCGTGGACGACACGCAGCCGCGGCGGACCCTGCTCCCGCAGAACCTGCCGAGGTCCCAGACCCTCCGCCTCCCCCTCCTTCGCCCTCTCCAAACCCCGCAGCTCGGCTCCAACAAGCGCTCCGCAGCCTTGACGACCTCGACCTCGCCCACACCTTGCGGGTGCGGGTCTCGACGTTCCAAGGTGCGCCCCGGCGCTTGCAGGGGGTCCTTGCCTTTGCGCTCCGCTTGGGCCTCACCGAAATCTGCGACCACCCCGCCAACACGGACCCTGCCCAAGCACGTGGCTGGAAGCTCTTCCTCCTGGCCCCGCGGATGCTTTGCTACCGGTCCCGTCCCGGGGAGCGCGCCGAACCCAGCGACCTCGACCGCCGAGCCACTATGTTCCGGAACGGCCAGTGGCACCAGCTGCTCGGCGAAGCTGCCAGCAGCTTCCACCCCACAGCGCCGTCCTCGAGCGTCCCCTCTGCTGACGCGCGTGCTTCCCGTGCAGCCAGCCTGGCACATCAAGGGGAACTTTCCGCGGCTGCCCGGTCGCTAGTGGCCGAGCCCCTCGCGCCGCTCTCGTCCGCCACCCTGGCCGAGCTGCGCAACCCGTCCCGGCGCCCGCAAGTCCGGCATCGACCCCTCTCGGACGACGTTGCCTCTTTCCAGCCCAATGAGCTGCTCCACGTCGACGCCACCAGATTCCTGCAAAACCTCCGCCGGGCCCGCCGCGGGGCGGCCGCTGGTCCGTCTGGCTGCACCAATGAGCACCTCCGGGTCTTGCTCGAGTCTGAATCCGACTCCCGCCTCCTGTGCGACGCGGCCTCGCTCCTGGCCTCGGCGCGGGTGCCTCCCCTCATTATGGACGGCCTCCGAGTCGGCCGCCTTGTTGCCCTCCAGAAAGGCAACGGGCGTGTGCGCGGCCTCGTGATGAGCGACGTGTTCCGCCGGCTGGTCGGCCGGACCTTGGCGCAGCAATTCTCAGCCCAGTTCCAAGAGGCGTGCCACCCCTTTCAGTACGCCCTCAGCACCAAAGCCGGAGCAGAAGGCCTCGCACGCGCCATCCGGGTCGCGACCGAGCTCGACCCCCGCGCTACCGTGCTGTCGGTCGACGGCGTCGGCGCTTTCGATCATGTCGGACGCCAGTCGATGCTCGGCAGCCTTCTCCGCTCCCCTGCGCTTCGACCCCTCCTCCCCTACGCCCGCCTCTTCTACGGCCAAGACAGCACCTACCTCTGGTGGGACTCTAGTGGCGCCTGCCACTCCGTTCAGCAAGCTGAAGGGGGGGAGCAAGGCGACCCGCTCATGCCTGCCCTGTTTGCGCTTGCCCAGCACCCTGCGCTGCAAGAGACCGCGGCCACGATGCGGTCCGGGGAAGCGCTCTTTGCTTTCCTCGATGACATCTATGTCATTTCGTCGCCTGACCGCACCCACGCGCTCTATTCCACCTTGCGCGTTTCCCTCCGAGGCCACGCGTGCATCGAACTCAACCAAGGTAAGACCCGAATCTGGAATGCGGCTGGGGAAGAGCCGTGCCACCTCCCAGAGCTGCAGCCGGCTGACAGCAACGACCGGGTTTGGGTCGGCGACTGGACTCTGCCCCCTTCGGCGCAAGGCCTCCAGGTCCTGGGCACCCCCATTGGGAGCGCGCAATACGTGCAACATGCTCTTACCGAGGTCCGCACCAAACAAGACCTCCTTCTCCACCGCATCCCATGGGTAGAGAACCTGCAGGCCGCCTGGCTGTTGCTCCTTTTCTGCGCAGCCCCCCGGAGCAACTATCTCCTCCGCGTCCTCCCACCGGCGGACACCTCAGACTTTGCAGCCGCCCACGACGCCGCGGTGGCACATTGCGTCAGCACCCTGGTGGCGGCAGGCGCGGCCCTTTCGGACCTGCAGCTACGCCGGGCCCAACTCCCATTGCGCTTGGGGGGGTGCGGCCTGCGCTCGGCCCACCGTTCGCGCCTCGCCGCGTATTGGGCCTCATGGGCCGACACCTTGCCCATCCTCCACGCGCGCCTTCCTCTTGTGGCGGACCGCCTTCTCCAGCTCCTCAGCGGCGAGGCCCGCCCACAACCACCCAGCATCCTCGCCGCCTCCCAGGCAGCCCAGCTCCTCCGGAACAGCGGGGCGACTGTCCCACCCTGGGAATCTATCATCGGCGGCCGCCATACCTTCTCGCACGAAGACCGGACCCCGGGCGATTTCCTGCGGGGGTGGCAGCGCGACATCAGTGCAGCCCAAGACTTGGACGAGCTCGCAGCGCTCCTATCTGACCTTCCCCCTCCGGAGCGCGCGCTGCTCCTATCCCAGGCTGGCCCACACAGCGGCCGCGCAGTCACAACCCTTCCTACCAGCCCGGAATTCCAGCTCGGCAACCCGCTTTTCCGCACCTTGCTGCAACGGCGGCTCCGAGCCCCCTTGAGCTGCGGCCCTTCCCGGTGTCGGTGTGGCTTGGCACTCGACCCTTACGGCGACCACCGTGCCGCATGCGCCACCACTGGCGTCCTCCGGGCACGAGCTGCGCCCATCGAACGCGCGGTCGCCCGCATCTGCCGCGAGGCCGGTGCCCGCGTCGCGGTCAACGTGCCGCTCTCGCGCATGAACCTCGCGGTCCCGGTCACCGACGCACGCCAGATCGAAGTCCTCGCAAACGACTTGCCGCTCTGGCACGGGGCTCAGCTGGCAGTCGACGTGACCCTCGTCAGCCCCCTTGGCCGCACCGGACAGGTGCGCCACGCTTCCGACGCGAACCCGGGCGCGGCGATCCTGGCAGCCTCCCAGCGCAAGCGGGAACACACCTACCCCGAGTTTTCCGGCTCGCGCCGCTGCCACCTACTCATCTTAGGTCTCGAAGTAGGAGGTCGTTGGGGCGAGGAAGCCGCCGACTTCCTCCGAGCCTTGGCGCACGCCCGCGCCCGCACTGCGCCAGCACTCCTCCGCTCGGCGGCAGTTCAGGCCTACGTGCACCGTTGGGCCGGCTTCCTATCCGTCGCGGCGCAGCGCGCCCTGGCCGAGACTCTCCTCGAACTCCCGGCCGCGGCCGCACCCGGCGTCGATGGGGAGCCCCCGCCGTTCGCCGCGACCCTGGCTGACGTCCGGTGGCATGAACGCCCACTGGATAGTCGCCTCCCGCGGTGACCGCTGTGGCTGTACATAGCCTCCCCCAATGGCAAAGTCCATTGGCGCGTGAGACGCAGAGTGGGTCATGCAGCAGGGGGAGAAAAAAAAAGAAAACTTATGTGACATGATCATCTAAATAACTGGGGGGTGGTTAAACAAGGGGGGAACCAAAGGCTTGGGCCGCCTCAATTTTAGGAAGTTCCAATTGAATTTAGATTGCCTTTTTGCGTGTCCGCCAGTTTTAAATACATGGGACAAGGGAGGGAAAAATGATAATAATTGGGGTCTAGAGTCTAGATGCATAGTGACTTGCAGTTTGAATGTGCTGTGCCGGTAGCGAATTTGACCTTTGAATTTGGGATGCTACATTATTTGAATCAAAGGTGAAGCAAGGATTGGGGCAACCGATGTGGAATGGTGCATTTATGCTTCAAGGAGAGTTGGGTGTCACTGGTCTCTGTACGTGCCCAATGTGTGAATGTATATAGTTTCATTGTGTCATTGTTCCATTTTTTGCACCCTATTTTGGATGATGATACCCCTAAACATGGTGAGCGCAAAGAAAAACTACAATTTTGGTATGGTTGTTGCCGCCCATTTCTGAAAATCATCGAGGATGGCCAACCTTTCTTGTTGTATCACACAATATTTCCACAATATTCCCATAATACACTATTATCATCTATTATCCCACATGTAGTTCCAATTCGACATGGGACACATTGGGTTTATCCCATTGTGACTATGGCTACTAAGCTTTGGTGTTGAAACTGCCACCACACCAACGCCCCAGGCAGCCTCCGTCTCACCCAAGAAGACAACAAAGACAGCTGCCAGCAAAGCAACCACCAAAGCGACCACCAAAACGACGGCGACCAAGATGCTGAGTTGAGGTGATGGAAATGGGACGTGTGACACAGAGATGGAGCTGTTGTAAAACAATAATCGCTACATCAACAAATATCAACAATAATGTTTTTAAGTATGTTTTTTGTTCTCCATTGCGTATATTCTCTTCCCGACGGCAAGCTCCCTGCTATGGGTTTGTTCGAACATAGCAGCCCCCCCCAAAAAGTTACAAAGAAGTATATACCCAGTTCTTTCTGCACCTATCGGACGCTAAGAGGTCACCATTTCTTCAGGCAAAAACTCAGTTGGAGGCTGTTGCAGGCTGTGCGTCCCAGCTGTTTCAGTTCGGATCAAGATGGTTCTGCCGCATTGTCAGCAAGCTGTTCCAACGTTCTACCCATTGGAAAGTGATGGAACACATTCATTTGTGGGTATACGAATAGATCCAGCTGGTCAAAAAGTTTGATTCCGGACAAAATTCAAGCCCCGTTGATCCCAGCGATTTGTTGATAGCAAAGCAGCCACTGCGGGCAGTACCCATTTTTGCTGGGTCAATCATGAATCCCATTGCATTACATTGATGGTTATTATATCTCATTTCTTGCTGATGAATTCATGCCACATGTTTATTCATTGTTACTCCATGTTCTGGTGGTGTGTTGCAATTTCAATTATTTCATCCCTACATAGGCAAATCCTCCATTTTATCCCAGGTTTACCTGGTATCATGTTTTTTTTCCTGAATCAAACCTCCAATATCATCCCATTGGTCCTTGTAAAGACTAGGCCTGTTGTTCCCATTCGAAGTTCGCCTAGGAAACGCGAAAGCTCGCCCAAGCCCAAGAAGCGCGCGGCATCGCCCGCGCGCGCATCACCGAAGCCCAAGAAGCGTGCGCAGAAGGCTTCGCCTGAAACATGCCTGGCGGGGCTGGGCAGCTTTTACCAGGAGGTTTCTGACGAACTGGGATTAATAGTGATTAATATAGCTATGAACCAAAACCTTGGGACCCTAGATACCCTAAGATAGCTGGTTAATGGATGTTTCTTCCCCTAATATGGTAATTGCATAGCTTTTGACCCATTTCCATATCAATAGATTAATTGGATTCATTGGGATAATTATGAATGATTAATAATTCTGCGCTTTGTCGATGAGCAAATCCAAGTCCCAGGATGTTTCTAACTTCCCCTCCGGTCACCGTGGCTGAGAAATGCTGAGAATATTTTCTGTAAATGGATATTTTATGGACAAACAATGTATAATATATATATATATATAAAAAACATAACTATATATATAACCGAAGGATTTTCCATTCCCATAATTGATTACCAGAGGGTAGCCTCTGGCAATTACTGTAAACAGTTTGCTGTAGAGAATCACCAGATTTCATGTAAACAACTATCAATGGGCCATTTTCCTATGTTGAATTACCCGCGGGTATATATCAATTCTACTTGGAACAAGCGGGAATACAATGGGAACATAATTGGAGTATAATGGGAATACTCTTTTTTTTGCAGGATTCGTCTTATAAGAAAAGGGTGATAGGTGTTTTTTGCGCATGAATTTGTTTTTTTTCCAGTTGAATGTGTTTTAAGGCGCTACCGGATTTACCACAGATGTTTTTTTTTTCGTGGTTTCTCCGTGCTGGGCTCCATACCTGGCCTGAGAGGAAAACATATATCCGTACCGCTAGAAAAAATCATGCAGTAAGGGTTTCTTTCACTAGCGAAATCATCAGGACATATCAGGACTAGGGACTATGGGCTCTACGTGTTTTTCTTGCGATTTTTTTTTGCTCTCACCAGACCCTTTGGCCAAGGAACCCAAGAAGCGCAAGGCATCCCCGGAGCCCAAGAAGCGCAAGGCTTCCCCGGAGCCCAAGAAACGCCGCTCTCGGACGCCGGTGAAGAAAACCGTGACGAAGCGAAAGGAGGAGTCCTCTTCCTACCGGTCAGGCAGTTCCGACAGCCGATCCCGCAGCCGGCCACCACCCAAAAGAAAGGCTCCACGGGAGGCGTCGCCCAAGGTCAAGGAGAAGGTAAGAAAGGACTGCTTGGACTGGTTGGGTTGGACCAGTTGGAAGAGTGAAATTCTGGGTTTGAAGTTTGAAGTCCTTGAAAAACATGCAAAAACATGCCAAAACTATGCGCAGTCGTTGGTGAAAGTTTTTGGACCTGCTGGAACAATGCCAGTTGCCAGTAGGGTTCTTGGTAGTATAAAATTCATCCCTGCAACAGCGTTGTGTTGTAATCCCTGGACCTAGCATGACCGAGATGGCGATGGAGAGAGAGAGAGAGAGAGAGAGCATGATCTAGTTCATCCTAGTTCACCAACCAAGCGTTGTTTCTTCTCCATCCTACTGGTTCCCACCCAGTCCCAGAATCGCCAGGATGAGAATGGCTCCAAGGCTCGGTCTGCGCCACAGGCCCGGAGCTTCCTTGGAGCGCTGAAAGCTGTGAAGGCCAATCAGAAGGACATGCCCAAGCCAACGGAGGATTCATGGGCCAAGGATAAGCACAAGGACTCCTGGGTGGTTGGCTGTTTTTTAAAAGTATACATATAACATATATCATATAACTATATATGTATATATATATAGATGTGTGTAGATATATTCATAATTATTCATATGTATTTATATATATATATATATGTATATATGTATCTATATGTATATGTATATGCATATGTATTTGTATTTCTATATAAATATATAAGTCAGTAAAGAATCCATCCAGCAAATGGGATGATGATCCCAAATGACTAGTGACTATAGCATTTTCTTGACGGGGGTGGCGAGCCACACACTGGAGGATGGCGAGGAGAAGGAGGAGGTTTGGGATCCGACAAAGACCTGTGGTCATCCAGATTGTGGACTTCAGGTCTGTTCAGATCGCCTGGTCAGCGAATTTTTTTGCTGCGGCAAGTGCCTCGGCGGCATATAGAAACGCCACCTGAGACACCTGCCGGGGGGCCCAAGCATTTAGACTTGGATTACATTACATTACATTACATTACGTTGCATACATACAAACATACATACATACATATATATATGTGATTATATTTGCACATGATATATACATATATATATATATATAAATATAGCTAATTACATCTGATCATCACATTTCTCATTATATTTGATTGGAGATATTTTGAGTATATTGATGTTTGTCTTCATTTGGCATTTCACGCACATTTCAACCCCAGTTGGGGAGTGGTTCTAGGTGGCTGGTTCTGACATGGTCCAACTCCATTTTCTGAGAATTTTCGGGACTTTTTACAGGATCCCTCAGTTTGGGTGGCAAAACCCAGTCAGTATTACAGTATAGATGATATAGATGTTCCTACTTTTATTCAACCAACCGACATTGACATCACGCCCCTTTAAGACCAGGTGCTCGACGGCTTTCTACAGCCACCAAAAGCCTCAGCATGGCCAACGCTGCGAAGCCAAAACGCCCAAAAAGACGACGAAAGCCAAACCGCCTCCTGCAGATCCATCTGCTGGACAGGGGCATTGCTTGGTCATCGGATTGGGCAAAAACCATCAAACAAATATAGGATTGAAATGGATTGAACCATTGTTTGGATATGGCGTCCACAATATGTTTCCATTATTTCCACTTAAACATGGTTTATTGATTAAGTGGGACCGGGATTAAACTTAACCGTTGAAATTAGAGGAAGGGAACCCCAAACGATAGGTAAGTTGGTACAAGAAAAAATAGGCCAGCGGATGATTGATGGAAGATATGTGTATATACGTACGATTTGATGACGTTACAAACCAACTTATACTGGGGGGGGCCTTCTGGCAGGATATGGGTCGGTTTGTTTGTACGGTTACGAACGGGGGCTTCGGTTATGGGTCTAAGTGCTAGAGTCGCTAGAGCAACCCTTTAGGTTCCCAAGACACCTGCCCAATGACGACAGCTCCTTTTCTTGAGCCAAGAAAAAGTCGCAGCGCACGATGTTGTGCGTGTCATCCTTCTGCAGGGGTCCATTGGTGCCATCGTTTCGTTGCGAAACGTGTGATCCCCATTTCATCACACGGATATCCCGGTGAAACAAGCGGGAGGCCTACAGGAGTTGAATCAAAGAGACAAACGAAACATTGCGTCGTTGCTGGTTGAAAATTAATCGTCGGTGAACAGTTGGTAGGCAGAAACGCAACAAAGACCCACACACATTGCATATGTTTTAGCTGTAAATATAATATTTATTTAATATATATATACATACATATAAATATCTAATATATAATATTTAATATATTATATTATATAATATATATATAATATTTAATATATTATATTATATAATATATATATAATATTTAATATAATGTATATAATATATTATATTTTATAAATGTCAAATTAAATTTATAATCTTTAATGATATCTATATAATTATTATATAAAATATAAAATACATATAATATAATATAATATTTAATTTATATATATATAATATAATATATAATATATAATATATATATATATATATATATATATATTTAATTTACAATAAATATAATATACAATATACATTATATAATATATATTGTAAATAATTTACAATATATATAATATATAATATATATAATATATATAATATATAATATATATCTAATACTTCAGGAGGAACAAAGTTTATGCTTCTTGAAAGCTTTACAAGACATCCATGTCGGTCAACCGCGGATCGCATTTTCAAGTCCGTTTTGTGTGGCAGGTGTGGGACGGTCAATTATCACCCTCTTTTAAATATATAAGATTTTAAAGCGTTTGGAGGGGGGAAATGCGACCGGGGTTCGACAAAGCTCCATGCTAGGATTCTACGGGGAAAGGGTGTGCAGAAGAAGAAGCCAAACATGTTCACTGTGGGAAGCTCAACAAGCGCAACTTTTGTCCTACCAGTGCGTCACGGCACATTAGTAGCAGTGCAGACAAAGAGGATGGAGACAGACATGTTATGTGGAGTAATGTCCAAGCTGAAGCAGGTGCAAAAATCAGCAAATGACGTGGCAATTCCCACTAAGTAAGCTTTTTGTACCCTGCGTCACGGCACATGTGTAGCAGTGCAGACAAAGAGGATGGAGACAGACATGCTATGTGGAGTAATGACCAAGCTGAAGCAGGTGCAAAAATCAGCAAATGACGTGGCAATTCCCACTAAATAAGCTTTTTGTACCCTGCGTCGCAGAACATGTGTAGCAGTGCAGACAAAGAGGATGGAGACAGACATGTTATGTGGAGTAATGACCAAGCTGAAGCAGGTGCAGAAGTCAGCAAATGACGTGGCAATTCCCACTAAATAAGCTTTTTGTACCCTGCGTCACGGCACATGTGTAGCAGTGCAGACAAAGAGGATGGAGACAGACATGCTATGTGGAGTAATGACCAAGCTGAAGCAGGTGCAAAAATCAGCAAATGACGTGGCAATTCCCACTAAATAAGCTTTTTGTACCCTGCGTCGCAGCACATGTGTAGCAGCGCAGACAAAGAGGATGGAGACAGACATGTTATGTGGAGTAATGACCAAGCTGAAGCAGGTGCAGAAGTCAGCAAATGACGTGGCAATTCCCACTAAATAAGCTTTTGTACCCTGCGTCACGGCACATGTGTAGCAGTGCAGACAAAGAGGATGGAGACAGACATGTTATGTGGAGTAATGACCAAGCTGAAGCAGGTGCAAAAATCAGCAAATGACGTGGCAATTCCCACTAAATAAGCTTTTTGTACCCTGCGTCACAGCACATGTGTAGCAGCGCAGACAAAGAGGATGGAGACAGACATGTTATGTGGAGTAATGACCAAGCATGACCAAGCTGAAGCAGGTGAAAAAATCAGCAAATGACGCGGCAATTCCCACTAAATAAGCTTTTTGTACCCTGCGTCACGGCACATGTGTAGCAGTGCAGACAAAGAGGATGGAGACAGACATGCTATGTGGAGTAATGACCAAGCTGAAGCAGGTGCAAAAATCAGCAAATGACGTGGCAATTCCCACTAAATAAGCTTTTCGTACCCTGCGTCACGGCACATGTGCAGCAGTGCAGACAAAGAGGATGGAGACAGACATGTTATGTGGAGTAATGACCAAGCTGAAGCAGGTGCAAAAATCAGCAAATGACGTGGCAATTCCCACTAAATAAGCTTTTTGTACCCTGCGTCACGGCACATGTGTAGCAGTGCAGACAAAGAGGATGGAGACAGACATGTTATGTGGAGTAATGACCAAGCTGAAGCAGGTGCAAAAATCAGCAAATGACGTGGCAATTCCCACTAAATAAGCTTTTTGTACCCCTGCGTCACAGCACATGTGTAGCAGTGCAGACAAAGAGGATGGAGACAGACATGTTATGTGGAGTAATGACCAAGCTGAAGCAGGTGCAGAAGTCAGCAAATGACGTGGCAATTCCCACTAAATAAGCTTTTCGTACCCTTCAGGAGGAACAAAGTTTATGCTTCTTGAAAGCTTTACAAAACATCCATGTCGGTCAACCGCGGATCGCATTTTCAAGTCCGTTTTGTGTGGCAGGTGTGGGACGGTCAATTATCACCCTCTTTTAAATATATAAGATTTTAAAGCTTTTGGAGGGTGGAAATGCGACCGGGGTACGACAAAGCTCCATGCTAGGATTCTACGGGGAAAGGGTGTGCAGAAGAAGAAGCCAAACATGTTCACTGTGGGAAGCTCAACAAGCGCAACTTTTGTCCTACCAGTGTATATTATATATCATATATAATTTATATTATTTTTTATATATAATATATAATATATAAAATGTACTATATAAAATATTTTTATATAATATATAATATATCGTATATAATATATAAATATATATATATATATATATCTATATCCTAAAGAGCGGTATTAGTGTCAACCAAGAATATCAATAACAATCCTACATGTGCATACATGTATCCAAAGAAAAAATCATTGATTGATGCACGGAGTTTTTGCTCGATGTCCCTTTGTGTGATTGTCCAGGAGGAGGTAGCTGGAAAAAGAAGACGACTGCGATGAGATGGGGCATCTGGGACTGGCTCGTCATTTTCTGGACCTTCATATGTTTTATATAAGAAGAAACGTTATACATATACGGGTTGGAAGTTCATGGATGCTCCATGGCAGTTTAGGTTGGTTGAAAGGTAGGTCATTGGGTTGATCGAAAGGAACTGCCTTGGACCAAACATGAGAAATTCATGCGTGCCCACCAATTGGTGTTTCCTATAAGTTTCCCTGTGGTTGTTGGCGAGCTACTTGCATATTCTACCTTTGGTTTGTAAAAAAAACAGGTCGGTAACTTGAAGGCCACTAAATTGGAAACCAATTATTGTGATTTTTTTGGAAGTACGGGAACCCACAGTTTGATGTGTTACTGTAAGTTATTATACATCCAAAGGATTGACTATACTAGTACTGGCCCACGTCTGAAAAATGTGCCGTGTGTATCGGATTATCATACTATCATATTATCCCCTTAGTCCGACTAATTTTGCAAATTAAATACAGTGAAATCCGTAGTCTTGTTGCTTAAATCCAAATGTTCAGCGGGTAAATCCCCATTTTCATTGTTGAATACATATTGTTGATTATTGTTCATTTCGATTTTTCCTGATTCAATCATAGTGAATCCATAGTGAATGCCATAGTGAATCCCCCTATTTCGTCCCCATTTTTCGACCCCCTACCGAGCTCAGGCAGCTACGGCAACGGCAGGAGCTATGGCAAGGCGTGGAGCCAATGGGAGCCGCCAGCGGAGTCCAAGGAGCAGACGAAGGGACTTCGGGTGCCCTTGCGTTGGTTGAGACATTGAACCACGAAAAATGATGGATTCTTAATGGTTTTGATCCAGCAAAGATATCGGACAATGGTGGTTTAATGATGTTTAAATGGTGATTTAGTGGGACATACTAGGGATTTATTGGGACATATCCTCTGGGAATCCAATTTTTGATAGGTAAATGATAGCCACAAGAGGGAACAGTTTGTAATTTGACCCCTTCTATCTACCCAGTTTACAGCCCCGGTGTTTACTTTTTGTATCTTATGAATGATCACCATTTAGAGATGTTTTTTGTTTCCATGATATCCCCATTGAACGTGTATTGATAGTAATGGTATTCACTAGATTAAATGTGTGGTGAAATTATTTTTCAATAGCTAATGATAGTCAATGATAGTCAATGATAGTTAATGATAGTTAATGCCAATAATATTTGCTACACTTGTTTCAATAGCCAATCCCCCCCCGAGATTGCTGATCAAATCATTTGAGGCCTGGTCGGACGATGACGAGCCACCGGTGAAAGGTACCAATGCGGCCAAGAAGGCCCAGGAAACCTGGACAGCCGGATTTTTCATGGGTTGATATGGGGGATGAGTGGTTAACAATGGTGATAATATCATGATTACCCATATTTTTCAAGAAAACTGGATTTGCTGAAGATGATTTCTTTCTAATTATGTTGTCAATGGGAAATCTACTACAACTGGGAAATCCAAAACGGGAATAGGGTATATGTTTTTTTGTTGGAGGGTTCCTTCAGCACAGCAAATCCAAGGAAAAGGAAGAGAAGGACAAGGACAAGGACAAGGACAAGGCTGGAAAATCTAAAGATCTTGAAAAACAATCCACTTTTTCTATTTTAGGATATGTTAAGGCCAATATCATGGTGTTATCGCGTGATTCCCCCCAAAAAGACAGGAAAAAATCAGCGTGTTATTTGATTAGTGGTAAATTGATGTTCTATTTGTACCGATTCCTGAATGATGCGCCCACGCCGCTTGAAGGGAGAGAATTCCAACGCGTGGAGCAAGTGGAACAGTGGTGGCAACAGTGGCTACAGTGGCAACAGCGGCAACAGCGGCTGGAAAAAGTCAAATAATTGGTCCGACTGGCCACTTGCAGGAAATTAAAGGTTGTTGCATGGTGTGTGCACATGGGAAAGGGTCACAATTTTAAGACCCAAGGGACCACAGATCTTAGTTTATCCTTAGTATTAACCATCCAATTGTACGGGTATCCATTCAGACCCAGATTAAGGATATCGCCACCAGAACTGGGGAGGAGCACTTGGGACACCTTGGGACCTTGGGACACCTGAGTCGCTTGGTCAAGCGTGGAGCCGAGGTCTGGAGGCTGGAAGAGTTCTTGGTGCCCCAGCTGCAAGTCGAAGTGTACAGCGACCGCACAGGTCCACTTGGAGCTAAATCTGGTTATATGCTGAAAGTTCAAGGCCAAATGGCTATATAATAATATAATGCAATAATGTATATATATATATATATACAATATTTATGTATGACAAATAACATGTGATAAACCCAATTATGCCCCCCAAAATGGAAACACACTTATGGGATCGTATGGGTTCCATTATAAACCATTCCCAAATGGTAGGTTTATGGCATTGGGTCTCCCCCATTACACACTTAAAGGCCACCCTCAGGTCCAAGGGCTGGGGCAATTCCCAACGTGGCAGCGGCGGCGGCGGCGGCATGGAGACAGTGTCCTTGGAGGAAGCGGAGGAACGAAGACAGAACCTGGGCCCGCAGTGCTTGGAGATTTGGTTTTCCCTTGTTGTTGGGTGGTCAAAGATGGCTAAAGTAAACTAACCATTGCGGCTACCATCCGGCAAAGCAGCATAGCTGAATATAGCTATGGAAAATCACCGTTAATATGGTATAGATCATCTCTAAATGGGCCATGGCTTCCATAGATATGTTCGTTTACTGGAGGGTCAAACCTGTTAAAATCTTTATTTCTTGTAACATTTGAAGCCAGAAAAGGTGGATGCGTTCTCTTTGTATGAATAGATTCCCTCAATTCCCTCCATCTTGGGGTCAGACATCACCTTTTGGTAGTTGAATACATTATAATATATATATATATATATGTATATAGAATATATATATATATATCATATAGAATATATTTAAATATACATAATGTCTGCCCTTGATTTATAAATAGGGCCCCCCCCCCCTCTCTGACCCTAAATAGACTTAAGGCCACCATAAAACTTGTTTGTATGTAAAGGTTTTAAATTACCACAATTGAAAACGAATACATAAAATGCAATTTCAAAAAAAAAGGAATCCAGCAATTGTTTTAGTATTGATCTAGTACTCATGTCATGGATTTAGTATTGATTTAGTATTCATGTCATGGATTTAGTATTGATTTAGTATTCATGTCATGGATTCAGTATTGATTTAGTATTCATGTCATGAATTTAGTATTGATTTTGTATTCATGTCATGGATCTGGGCAAATCTGGGTTTAGGGCCAAAAACAATTAGCTTTATGCAGGGTCAAACTCTAATTAGTGCCAAGGCACCTCATGGGGGGTACCCTTGACGAGTTGATTTGGGATTGATTTTGGATAATTTTGAATAAAGGTTTTGAATAGAAAAGAGCAGCCATTATTTTTGAAAATTTGAAGTTATCAAGGTAAGATCTAATGAGCTGGCAATATGAATTAGTACATGAAAGCCACCTCAAATAAAGCATGGAAAATTTTTTTCAGCCCCATCTGGGCAAATCTTTTAGGGCCAAAAAAAATTAGCTTTATTTAGGGGGCATTTATTATTTATTTTGGGAAAAATTTAGCTTTATTCAGGGGGCATTTACAAATCATAGGTCAACATTATATATACAGTAATATATATATATATGTAGAGAGAGATGTTAAATTTCACGAGGTCTTGGGGTTTTGGGATTTTTAGGGTATATTGGGTTTCAAAGTCAAAATGCATCATTTCGAGCAACCTGCGCGCAGAAGGGTCGTGAGGAAAAGTGTTGAATGTTGTGATTTCTGTTGAATCAGTGGTCCACAGGTCCAACTGGCGTTCCAGAGAAACTGAAACAGTCGGAAACAGTCGGAAACAGTCGGAAACAGTCGGAAACATCGGAAACAGTCGGGAGCGGCCCGGCCTGATCATGCCAAAATTGTCAATCCGCAATTTTTTTGCAAAAAAAAACTTTCCGCGCAATCCCATTTCTTTTTGAAAGTGCAACGGGAAACAGTTGGAAACAGTTGGGGCTCGTACCTTTGACTCGGCAAAAAAAGAGCTATTTAAAACCCTTTTATAAAGAAAATTAACCTTAAATGGTTTTAAATAGCTCGTTTTTTGCCGAGTCAAAGGTACGAGCCCCAACTGTTTCCAACTGTTTCCCGTTGCACTTTCACAAAAAAAATGGGATTGCGCGGAAAGTTTTTTTTTGGCAAACAAATTGCGGATTGACAATTTTGGCATGATCAGGCCGGGCCGCTCCCGACTGTTTCCGACTGTTTCCGACTGTTTCAGTTTCTCTGGAACGCCAGTTGGACGTGTGGACCACTGATTCAACAAAAATCACAACATTCAACACCTTTCTTCACGACCCTTCTGCGCGCAGGTTGCTCGAAATGATGCATTTTGACTTTGAAACCCAATATACCCTAAAAATCCCAAAACCCCAAGACCTCGTGAAATTCAATAGAGAGAGAGAGACTAATATAAATTATATAGATAATAGTGGCTATTCGGCCACCATCTTAGCTGGTGTTTAGAGAGAAGAAATATGAGGAATGCTGTCCTGCTGTGCAGGGATGTTTTCCTTCTGGCTTAACCAGCTGGGGATGTTGGGGCACAAATGAATAAGGTCTTTGGCTTTTGGCAATGTCTTGGGAGTCTCTCAAACGATCTTTCGAGACAAGCCAACTGGCAACTGCCAAATGTTTGAGGTTTAGCAGATCGGCATATTGATTAAGCGTAGCGGGGTATGATTCGCAGAAGTGCTTCCAAAAACAATTGTTCAGGAAACCTCCTCACCAGTGAGCTTTGGGATGTAGCCAACAAACCGAGAGGTTTAAGATGTGTGGCTCATCTATATATAAGCTGCAGAATTGTCAGACTCGAAGCAGTGATCAACCATTGCGATGCAGTGGTTCTAAGGGGCAACCATTGCGGAGCAGCACAGACAGTCGAAAGCCAGCAACAATGTTTGATAGTAACTCGACTAAGATCCCAAACCGATCCACCGATGATTCCTTCCCGGGGAAAACACCAGCAAG